AAAATAAGCTCAACTCAACTCAAACTCACAAGCTAAAAATTATCAAGTTCAACTCAAACTGGAAATATAATATTGAAACTTGAACTCAAAAAAAATTTAGAAACTCAATTGAAGCCTAAAATTCGAGCTTTATTGAAGTGAAAGAATAGTTCACTCAATGCTCACCAAAAGGCTCCATGATTTTGAATGTCAAATTACCTCTATTATATAGAGTTAGTTGTGATGCTTCTATGTTTCTTAGCAATGTGAGATTGTTTTGTTCACATATTTTTACTCTTTAGACTTTTGGGATGCTCTTTTATGTTTCTTAGCCATGTGTGATTGTTTTTAAAAAAATTAAACCAAACAATATCAATTTGTTATGATTTTTTTAACCCCAAATTTATTTTTTAATTATAGTTATATAATTATATTTATTATTTAATATATTTTACCTTAAATATTATGTTGTAGTTAATTTGAATCATTTTGTTTTACTTGATTTTATGGTTTTTAACTTATATATGTTATGACTTGCTTTGAATATAACTTGTGATATAAAAAATTATTTTTTATTAAATTTTTTGATATTTTTATTTAATTTTTTAAATAATTATGATGTCTTCCGGTCGAACCGGTTCGATCGATTGAACCAATAAATCATAACATAACCGATTCGCTAACCGATCCGGTTCTAAAAACCATGCTCCCATCACCGTCTCATATGGCTTTATATAACTTTACACTGTTTTCTTTTTCCTTGCTCAATATTCAGAATTCGTTGTTTTTGACAATTCAATCTGCCTTCGGTTTTCAATTTCCACAAAATATGATTTCGCTTTCATTTTCTTACTCGAATCTAAAGGTTTTTGTTTCCATTGGCAGTAATCTATACAACTTTTGTGGTGTTCCTTTGGCATTTTGGACTTATAAGGTAAGTTTTTATCTGCAGTAAAGCTTTTCCCCAGATTCCTTGTGGCGTGTGTTTTAGGCAAATTTATATGTTGTCTCCCCTTCATTCTTCACCACAAGGAATCCCAGCTTGTGAATTGCAGTAAAACTGAAGCTTATCCATTGGTTCTTTTATTTTATCGTTGTTTCCTTTAGAACAATGGGATTTTTGCTTTGAAGGTCCTTTTTTTTTCCACATTTGGTACTTCAAGAAAAACCCAAGATTTTATATACCCGGGAGATGTGAATTTCAAGCAAAAGATGACATCTTTCAGTGGATTAGGGATTGGATTAAGCTTGGTTTTTGGTTGTCTTTTAATAGCTCTTGTTGCTGAGCTTTACTATTTACTTTGGTGGAAGAAGAGATTAATTGGAAGTAGCTCACAAGTTGAAGATGATTACACCAAATATGCAAAGGAACTGGGTTCATCTCTTCTGCTGGAAGAAATCTGATTCTTTGCATGCATCCACCAATAACAACAACATTCAAGATTTAGTCAAAGACCAAGCCATCAATGGCATTGTTGAGTCAGATTTGGAACTCGGGTCAAGCAAGGATTTTCTGCTAAAGGGCTACGGCGAAGAGGGTATTGAATCAGAGCTCATGAAACTTCACAATCTGGCCGGTCCACCGAGATTCCTCTTCACAATCAAAGAGGAAACAAAGGAAGATCTTGACTCAGAAGATGGTCAGTCTAGAGGTGATAAAAGCAGAAAAGGTTCAAGAACAAGGAGCTTGAGTGATCTTATTTTGACCATTGACACTCAAATGGCTTCTCCTCCAACTATAAAATCCCCTCCTTTGAACCCTTTAGATTCTTATCACCGACAAGGATTCAACCCTCTCTTTGATCATCAACAGACGCCGAGGTAAACAAGCTGAGATCTTCGCCTCCTCCAAAGTTAAAGTTCTTAAGAGATGCATAAGAGAAACTTTTAAGAAGATTGATGGTTGAAGCTGTAATATCCCAAACTACGGGTTAGTGATCAAATTGTAAAATTTTAAAATTTGGTGATTAAAGTGAAAAAGTTAAAAAATTCAATGATTTATTTGAAAGTATTTCCTGAAGGATTGTTAGTAATTATTGAAAGAGTCAAAAGGTAAATAGGTCATTGAACAAGAATAATAATTAAATAAAATTTAGTAGGTATTATAATACCCATGTGATGCATGTGTGAAGAGATAAGTTTCTAAACTTATCTTCTTCATCTTCTTCTCTTCTCCAACGTGCCCAAGCTAGAGCAAATGTGAGTTTTATATTTTGTTGATTATTTGTTAATTTTATGAGTGGGTTTTGATCATTAGATGATAACTAAGCTTAAGGAAAGCTTAAGTTATCTTAAAATCAAAAGATGAAGAAGTTACGAAAGATTAAAGAAAATGAGTTTTTAAGTGAAATTTGGAATAGGAAGGTTTAAATGAATTTGGAGGATAAATTTGACTTGTCATCTATGAGAATAAGAAGTTAGAAGTGTTAGAATTAAGTTTGGTTAACATGAAAAATTTGGTATGATTATTGATTTCTATATTGAGAATAGAATTTTGAGGTTTAAGATGAAATAAATAGATATAAATGAGTTTAAACATGTATATTTGAGTTAAGAATATGAAAGGGAATGAAACTTGAAGAATTGAAATTGAAAGAGTGAATTTTCGTGCAATGAACAATGATTTCTGGGTAGATGCATTAAGGGGTGCATCGATGCATGGATATTTCGAACCTATTCTGTGTATCGATGCACCCATAGTGCATTAATACACTCTTAAAGGAAAAATTGAATTTTTGGGTTCATTAAATTAGCTCAAGTTATTAGTATTGAATTATAAGGTTTAGGCTTCTGATAATCGTCTCGGAAATTATGCTTATGTAGAAATTGAGCCTAAACAAGTTTCGGAACAATCAAAGAATTAGGATCAAATCAAAGCAAGGCTAAGGTGAGTGCAATTTAAATTGTACTTATTCGATTGATCAAACATTGGCTTGCGATGAGCCAATGATGGAGTTACTATGGTAAGAAGTAACTTATAAAATGTTATGTGATTACTGGTGGCATTATACATAGAAATGATAAAAGCCATATGAAATGATCTATGTGAATACATGCATTTATGATACGTGTTATATGATATTAGATATATGTTTACACATACATGTGGTATGTGATAGAAGAGAATGAACATGTGATTATAAGATCAATGATTACACGTACATGTGATACGTGACTGAAAAGAAAAGGGTATGTGTTTATAAGAGAAAAGATATGAATAAGTAATGTGAAATGTTATAAATGATAGGGGTATAGTTGGCATGCCAAGGGTCGAGGGTTTACCTATGTTCTTCGGGACATATGGACTGTTTACCTATGTTCTTTGGGACATATGGACTGTTTACCTATGTTCTTCGAGACATATGGACTGATTACCTAGGTTCTTCGGAACCTATGGACTGGTCCTTCGGGACAATTATACGAGCTGTGATGACAACATAATAGTGCACAACCTCAATGTACTCACATACCTTAAGTTCTCACTGGTGTACTGGGCTATAAAAGATTAAACAAATATACTGAAGTTGATATGCATATGTGATTTATTATATAGAATAAATTACAGGATTCATGTATTGGTTATATGAAAGCATATATGTTTTAGTTATATGAACTGTATTACATGAAGATTATGGTGTTAAGTGTATTTCTTTATGAAATGTTTTATGATTTTTATTATATGTTTTATATGCCTCAATAAGTCGTAGACTTAGTGTGCGATTGTTTCACGCGTAGGTTCTGAGAAGAGGAAGATTGATAAGAGTTATGCAAGACAGGTCAGTTCTCCTTTCTAAAGATCAAATCAGAAAAGAAATGTATAGTATGTATTTTGTAATAAGGAAAGTGGTTGGCTGTAAATAAAAGATTAAATCCAATATGTTCTAATCGGTTTTGAAAAGTCATACGATAGAGTTTTGTAATGTTTTAAATGTGTTTATGTAAATGACAATTGTATAGTAATGAACGGTTAAATTTTTACGAGTTTTATGAACGTTTTTAAGTAACTGTTCATGGTACTGTTCATACCGTATTTCACTGTTCATAAATACGTTTTTATCTCAAAATTTTATACCAAACACAATTGAACAATATATGATAGTATTTTCTTAATATTAGTTCAAATGTTCAGTTATTTTACAAGAATAAAAGTTTTGAAATGTCAATGTGACGTCTCGGACTCGTATTCGGGTCGGGTACGGATTGAGATGTTACAGAAGCTGAGAAAAAGGTACATGAAAATGGAGGTCGTCTTCAAGGTGAGATACAAGGGTCTTTCTTAAAATTCATTGTTGATACGAACGTGGAACCTCTCCAATGTTTGCCGCAGTACCCTTCGAGTTCTTCTCAGATACTGTCATTGCCTTGTTATTCTACAACATTCAGACCACCGGACAAGACAGACACTATGCGTTAGATTCCTGAATCTTGTCTTCTGCTAGATGAGTTTCTTGTTTTTTTTTTTAATTTATTCTTTTCATCTACCATGGTTTTAGTTTAAAAAGTTTCCAGAAAGGGGAAAAATTGGTAGATAACCATGGTCCATGATCAATCCTGTAACATCTTGTTATGCAAAGTATGAAAGGGGACAATCTGGTTTTTCCCCATCCTCCATGTCCCTTTTAGCCTTGCTTTGATTTCTGTAAGTAATTACAGTGGTAAAACATGTGGAAAATTGTTTACAGCTAACCCTTTTTGTTCCGAATCAAAACAGTTGAAAGTTTCCTCCTTGTTGTAGAAAATTTAGCCTTTCAGTTGTGTTTTAGTCAGCAACACGCGCGCGGTAAACTAAAGCTTTCCCTCCAAATATCCTTGACCAAGATATGAGGATGAACACTTTGTTTTTTACTGCCTTGCAGTTTTATTGTAACTAAAAAAACCCGTCAAGAAAATATCAAGTTGATTTAGTAATATGAGATATTAACTTTTTTAAATAAGATTTAGAATTTAAATTTTGACGTTTGTAACTTAATAATTTAAATTGAAAGCATCACTTCCATTATAAATATCTATAAAATTTAATCTAAAATAATTGATTAATAAATTAAATATTATTAAAACTAAAAAAGAGGCATTTAATGTGGACATTATAGATGGTGGAAACACTTACAAAAAGTGGTAGGCAGTAGGGGTGAGCAACGAAATCGAGAAAACTGAAAAATCGACACGAATCGAGTAAAATAGTTCGGTTCGGTTTGGTTTGGCTTTAAATGGTTCGGTTTTCGGTTCGGTTTAAAGGCTTCATTTTTTTGATTCGGTTCGGTTCGAGTTTTCCATATGGAACCCATTTGTTCCATATTAAACCGAATAGGCAATTTTTGTAAAAAAAATTATAGTTTCAAGTGATTTTTTCATTGAAAAACCGAAAAATCGAACCGAACCGAATCGAAAAACCCGAACCGTTAAAAAACTCGAACCGAACCGAAAAAACCGATTTCGGTTTTTTCGGTTTTTTAACTATTCGGTTTCGGTTTCGGTTTAAATATTGAAAAACTGTTTATTTTAGTTCGGTTCAGTTTTTAATAAAAAATCGAATCGAACCGAACCGAATACACCCCTAGTAGGCAGAGAGAGTAGTGAGGTTTTACGTAAACAACAGGAAACGTCATTGTTATCACGCGATTCCACCCAAAGTTTGCCCCCACTTTCACACTCCAATTTTCTTTTATAACTTAAACAATTATGTTTTGAATCCTTAAATATATCCCCCAAAAGTGATGAAATCTAAGTTCCAGCGTATATAAATTTTGAATTGGAAGAAACAAAAGACCAGAATCATTGTGTTGAGGCAGGTAATATTTGGTAGATTGAACCAATTCAAACTTTTGATTCATACCAAACCAAAGTAATGGGTAAAGAAACTTAGACTTTTTTTTAATAAACAATATCAAATTGATCATAACTCTACGCGGAGAGAATATGTAATTGAAAATGTGGGAAATGGAGATTACTTGAAATCCAGCCCAGGTAATAGAGAAACGTGGTCCTTTCTTTTATTGGCTTCATTCAGAATGAATCAGTTGGTTTTCTCCTTCCACACATTCATCTTATAGGGGTTTTATATCATTAAATCTAAAAACCGGGATAGATGAAGGGGTCGTGGGAGCAATCGTCTTTTAAAAAATTTAAATTAATATATATTTTAAATATATATTTTTTATTTTATTGACAATTTGTTGTCGTCTCCTAATATTTTAAGTCTGTATTTTTTAAAATTTTAGAATTTTACCTCTTAATATAAGATTATGCCTATGTTCCTCTATGAAAACAATGATATTAAAATATGAAGTACATTAATATTATAATTAATTTAGTTCTGAACTTATTAATTGTGAGATTGTATATATAAGATTTAAGTAATCTTAATTGAGCTCTATCTAGGACTTGAGGATTACCCGAATTTCGTCTTAAGATTAGCTAACGAATTCTCAACAAATCCAATTGTTTAGCTAACAACTCTAATTGGTAAAATAAAGAAAAAATAATTAGGCGTTTTTCTGTTCAACCACTGTATAGGAGTTCATATTTTATTTCAACAAAATATTATCCAAAATAAAATTACCATGCTTTTAAATAAAATCGATCCATCAATAATCAATTGGTT